CATAGCACAATGCATGGCGTATACTGGTTTTTATTATCTCACTCGGAGTAGAACAATAGGACGTTAAACCCCATTTCATTTTGTCAAATACATTACCATAAAGACTAGGTTTTCTCTCTCTCACTTCACCCGACACTACTGGTTCTAAATTCCTTAGTCGACAAAATTCGACATCAGCATGTCAGTGGTAATTAGATCGTTAAATAAGAAAGGTGTCGATCGTATGTCACGTTATGGCGTCCTACAGACTTTTCTCGATCTCAATGTCTATTTCAACGTGTAACTTCTCGTCACCTACAACTCTATTGTTATAAAATCTATGGAAATGAGTTTCTTCTTTTTTTTAAAGGAGCTAAATCGCTAATATTTGGGACCGAGAAATTGACCCAAATGGGTCGCAACTCATATAATAATGTAATCTGATTGTATATAAACTGATTTACATTCAATTGTTTCCGTTTTGACTCTTAATTTCAAATCAGTTATAGCAATTTCTAGCGTCTGGTTATTCCAGTCTATTGAACAGGTTCTCCAGTTGAATATGTCTAGCCTCGTTCTTTCTGGTCATTTGTTGCAAATGACGCTACAACGCACTATGGTACACGATTCGTGTACCAATGGTAAAATGTTTATTTTGTCTTAAATATTGGATATCAGAAGCCTGTCTTTTTCTGGTAAGATCACAACATCAATGTTGATTTGAATTGACAAATAATTCGTATTTTCAACGTGTATGACTTTGGATGATATTGAGTTAGAGACTTAGCTACTTTAAAATTAAAGATCACGATACAGCTAAACGAGGAGATTAACAAATGAAATGGGGTTTCTACACCAACTGGGATAGTGAAGATGGTCATGCGCCATACAGTTTGCTTAGACCGGAATTTAACCCAGAACAGCGGCACCACGGTCTACTATTATATCGAATTATAACTGTCAAGGGTTATTTTACGTGCACGCCAATGTATATACGGGAGTTCGGTTTTTCGTCCGAACCGAAAGACTATGCGTTGTTCCTTGCCAGACCCCCAGCTGCACCGCTGACCACGCCCGAAAAAACCCATTAATCCCAGAATCGAACACGAAACCTCCAAGTTAGCGAGCCGACGTCTTAATCGCCGAGCCACCGCGGCTACCTGTTAATCAAGACGGGTATACGCCATGCAGAGGGCTAACTCGTGAATTTGACTAAGAACAGTGGTACCTCGGTCTACTCTTATTTTCATTTCCAATACAAAGACAAAATTACACAGTCAATATTTTTGGCCACCACGTATTGTTCCACGAAAAACCTGCAGCGTGTGTATATGGATGTTGTTACTTTGCCTACCTTTTAAATATTAATTCAAAATATTCGAGTAAAGCATGGAAATTCAAAACGTTCGAGTAAAGCACGGATATGGATGTTCAAAACGTTCGAGTAAAGCATGGATATTCAAAACGTTCGAGTAAAGCATGGATATGGATATTCAAAACGTTCGAGTAAAGCATGGATATGGATATTCAAAACATTCGAGTAAAGCATGGATATTCAAAATGTTCGAGTAAAGCATGGATATGAATATTCAAAATGTTCGAGTAAAGCATGGATATGGATATTCAAAACGTTCGAGTAAAGGGTAAATAATTCGTCGATATACACAAATAGTTAATTAAATACAAAAGTTTTGTCATTAGCGCGATCCACAATGAAATTGGTATTTCCAAAATGTCAAAGCATCCCACAGAAACCAACTAAAAATAACTGACCTTTTGAGATTGGAGTTGATCACATTATTACATTATTAGACATACATTTGTAAAACATAGTTATTGGTATAATATAGATATATGAACTCGCTGTAATGGTGTCTCCACTTCACTGCTGTTTAGGACATAATCAGATATCGTTGATCACCGAAGCGTTAACGGGGATAAAAAGTGGTTAGTTAGGTTTGTTTGCACATTTTAATGAAACCCCCATCTTTTTTCACCAACCTGCACATATTGAAAGAAAACTCCTTTAACAAGAAAAACAATCTTAACAAACTTGTGAGGTGTTTTCATTTACATTTTAGATTATTAGACGGCCTCGAGGAATGTTATAGTGTTGGTTACAGTTGAAAGATATTTACCATGCAAAAATCTTTAGGGCTAATGGTGAAATTGTTATAGCGATGATTTATCTATCATCTTCAATAGAAGGCTTGATCTCGCCTTACATCTTATCAATAAAACTCGCGGTCGTTGCTTCGGGAACATGTCTATCTATACAACCCGCGCAATATCAAATCAGATTGTATTGCCATTTTTTAACGTAACTTTGTTTGTAGTACTAACGTAGTTTGCAGCTTCCCGTGGACGTTTTTATACAATAAAATTCATGTCATCGTATCTCATATGGACTAACACGAAGCCATTGCCTTCATTGTATTTCCGCTGTTTAGCTCTGCTTGAAAGCAAAATATTTGGTGTCAGGCTACAGATATCTAATCGGAGCTGATGAGTAATAATATATATAATAGATTCCTAACCCGTGTTATTGAAAATATAGATGTGACAGTTAGCTAACCTGTGTTATATTTTATATAGATCAAGTATGATTTATAATACAGGTCTAATCTCTATTATTGATGGGTGTGGCAGATAGCTAATTGACAAGTTCCGTATTACATTAAAGATACATTATGGGAGATTAGATAAAGAGTTGGTAGTTCTCACTATAATAGTTAAAAACTAGATAATGTAAAGGCAATTTGCTGATCATCATTACTAAAGGGTGGGGGGGGGGGGTGAATGGCCGAATGGTTAGCACGTGCGTGCTGTATCATAAGGCCTGTCAGTGAGTCAACTGGCGTGGTTTTGAATCCCCTGTTGTACGTGACAAGGAATAGGGTCGCCTGTCCAACCTCGTGGGTTTTCTCCCGGTCCTCCGGTTTCCTCCCACTGCTAAAGACCCCCTATGCGCAAGCGAATTATTGAAATAAAATTGAACCATGTGTTAGTCCCGAAATGAACTAGTTTGTGTCGAGTGGACGTTAAACCCCATTTCTCTCTCTCTCTTATGACTAAATTCGGTACGATAAAAAAAACATAGTCTCGATTATCCTCGTGGATTTTCTCCCGGTCCTCCGGTTTCCTCCCACTGCTAAAGACCCCCTATGCGCAAGCGATTTATTGAAATAAAATTGAACCATGTGTTAGTCCCGAAATGACCTAGTTTGTGTCGAGTGGACGTTAAACCCCATTTCTCTCTCTCTTTTATGACTAAAGTCGGTACGATAAAAAAAAAACATAGTCTCGATTATCCAGTTTTTTAATTTAATTATCGATGAGCGTTAAGCAGCAGATATGATTGTAATCCAGAAAATATCGCAGGCTAACGATGACATCGAGAGGTGATTATGGTCTGGATAAGTTATATGATATAATACAGGTCTAATCTCTATTATTGATGACTGTGGTAGATAGCTAATTGACGTGTTACATGTTACATTAAGTATGATTTATAATACAGGTATAATCTCTATTATTGATGACTGTGGTAGATAGCTAACCTGTGTTATATTTTACATAGATCAAGTATGATTTATAATACAGGTATAATCTCTATTATTGATGGGTGTGGCAGATAACTAATTGACGTGTTACAATAAAGTCTCTGAACTTCATTTGATAGATTGTTAATCCCTTGCGAACTACACTATTGAATATTATGACAGTGGAATAGCCAAACGTAATATCTATCCAAGAATGGCCCAATTACGATCGGAATTCCTGAATTGTGATTTGTTTTGAAATAAATGTTAAAGAATCATTTTGACTTCAGTTTAGCCTGGTTTAAACCGTGGAAACTTTGATATATTTTTTTAAACATGTAAATGACGCAGGGAGCCTTTAATATATTACACGTTCATTGCATTATTACATAATACTATGTTGACTTGTGTTAATGAAACTATGGATATATTACAGATAACTAATTGACACTGGCCAAACGTGTGTTGTTCCTAATAAGGAAATGAAATGGGGTTTAACGTCCTACTGTTCTGCTGCGACTGGGATAATGAAGTCGGGCATGTGCTATACAGTGTGTTATGAGCGAAATTGTGTCCGAACAGCAGGAGCTATGGCCTACTCTTGTATCGAATTACAACTGCCAAGGTTTATTTTACGTGCACGCCGATGGGTACATGGGGCCTCGGTTTTTCGTCCCATCCGAACGACTATACATTATCCCTGGCCAGGTCAGATGAACTTTCTCGACCAACACTGGGATCGAGCACGAAACCTCCAGGTAAGCGTGTCGTCGTCTTACTCACTAAGCCACGGTTACGCCTTCATAAAATGGACGTAACGATTCGGAAACTGACACTGGGTGTTAATATACAATGCTGACATGTGTTAATGACAATATGTATATGACAGATCGCCAATTGACAAGTTATGTTTAACACTATATGACAGCGCTGACCTGTGATGTTCACAAAATGGGTAACAATTTTATAATTGACAAGTTATGTTAATAATAAGTGCAGGAGGACCACACTACAAACAAATAGAACGAATACGACAAACTTGTGGGCAAAACAAACCTGTGCTAACGATAATATGGATCTAACAGGCAGTTAATTGGCAATTTATATCAATATTACACTATGAGCAAATTTATATGGAAAACAAAATTTATATGGTAAACAATCGAAATTGTGCTGTGTTGTTTATAATGCTCAGTCGCAAATGCCACAAGGATTATGTGCGAATTTATTTGAACGCTAAAATAAACACAACTATGACCTTGCTTTTAAGTTTGAAACTAAATAATATTGTGAATAATATTGAACAACAACACATACCATATGGTGGATTTTACACGCTGATATTCGCCTGAACCGCCTTAACCACTGTCAACCCAAGTGAATCGATATTTACTGCTTGGTGATAAATACTGAATTATACCGTCACATATGTCTCGTAAATACCTTAATATAAGAAAACTCTTTCATAAAAAATCTTACCGGTGTAGGTTCACTTGCTGGCACTGCGCTAGTCTCCGACATTCAGACACAAATAACAATATTTAAATCACTGCCATGCCTTCTAATGACATGCTAAGATAGAGTAACAGAACTGCCGGGCTGTCTATAACAGATCAATCTCTGTCTGGATAAACGGGGCAACACTGGTGCTTATGATTGGTAGCCTCGAATTAGTGTGTCGTAGTTGATGGAATCGATACAAGGAAATCAGGAGAGATTACTAGACACGCTGGCCGAATGGAAATATACGAAGACGGAAGTGTCCAAATAAGTAGATTATCTGTCGTTCTATATTCGTGGGTCGTGAAAACTACATGACCAATTGTCAAAAGAATTACAGATGTACTGGGGTTCTGTTCCGGGCTAATGAAGATAGGCATACGCCATATAATGTGCTATGATGCAATTAAATTCTTACTGTTAAGGGTAACTGTACGTGCGTACCATCCGAACGACAAGTCGCTGTTCTTTGGCAGGCTCTCCGTTTTGCACCTCGAACCCTAGTTCCTTAAGGAACGGTCTGTGATCGGACGTTGTCCGCTGGCCGTTCCTATCCATCCCTATAGCTGCAATATGAATCGGACGATGTCACTTGACCGTTCCTATTCGCCCGTATATAGCTGCAATATGAATATACAGCTTTTCCCCACCTCTGTTCTGACACAAATTTATAACGATTCAACACTATTTTCAAGTGGAATTTTGCGATAAAAAACATACGCAAAATACGTTTGAACTGATCAGCCATTACGAGACTCGGAACATGCACTGACTGAATGTTTTTTTTAATCACAAAATTCTACTTGCAAATAGTGTTGAATTATTATAAATTTATGTCAGATCTGACGAGAAATGATTTCTTTTAGCGAACAAAGAAGAATCTCGATGAAAAATAGTCAGTAAGGATTCCGAATAGCCTTATAACAGAGGTGAGGAAGGGCGGTATTTTCATATTGCAGCTATATAGGGACGGATAGGAATGGTCATCGGACATCTATAAACACTATTTTGATGATAACAAAGCCATTAATGTTTAATAGCAAGAGGTGAGTATGATTGGCATTTTTAATTATGAATAAACAGATTTTTATCTAGTTTTATTATTAGATCTATAATTATCTTTGTAACCACGAATCCGTGAGGTTAAAGCCGATTAATATACAACTTCTAACGATGACGTTTTCCGCCGACCTAAAAATAACCCACATAGAAGAATTGAAATGTAATTTCGACATTTCCGACAAGCGTTAATAGGGATGGGATTAGAAGACTAAAGGCCAATTGGCTTCTCGTTAGTCAGTGATGAGAGAGAGGGAGAGAGAGAAAGGGGGGGGGGAGAGGGGTGGGTTTAATGTCTACTACACACAAACTAGGTCATTTCGGGACTAACATATGGTTCAATTTTATTTCAATAATTCGCTTGCGCGTAGGGTTCTCTAGCAGTGGGAGGAAACCGGAGGACCCGGAGAAAACCCACGAGGTTGGACAGATGACCCTACTCCTTGTCAAGTCACTGATAATAAGGTGATAAAATTCATTTATACTCAAACTTAGCATTAGGCATATATTTTTTGGATATGGGTTGCTTGATGTCTTTGTTGTTCATTTCAAACGGAGCCTGACAAAGAACGCTATCTAATCGTTCGGATGGTACGATAATCCGAGGTCCTGTGCGTGCACATAACAAAATAAACCATGACAGTTGGAATTCGATATAAGAGCAGGCTGTAGCGCTTTTGTCCGGCAATGAAATGAAATGAAATCGGGTTTAACGTCCTACTGTTCTTCTCCTAACCTGGGCTAATGAAGACGGGCATACGCCATACTGTGTGCTATGAGGGAAATTTTGCCCGGGCAGCGGCACTATGCCGACTCTTATAACGAATTCCAACTGCCAAGAGATCGTTTACGTTCCCGCTAATGTGTACACGGGGCCTCGGTTTTTCGTACCATACGAATGACTAGACAGCTGTCCTTGTCAGGCCCTCCGTCCTGCATCACTGACAAGGGGAAACCACGCCGGAAAATCTGGATAAACTTTCTTGGCCAATGCAGGGATCGAACACCCGACCTCCAGGCTAGCGAGCCAGCGCCTTACCCACATAGCCACCGTGATCCCCAAAACTTCCCTTGTAGCACACTGTATAGGGCGTATGCCCGTTTTCATAAGTCATGCCGGTGCAGAACAGTAGGGTCGTTAAACCCCAGTTCATTTCATTTCATTTCACGTATTCTGTAAGCTTGACATAGCTATCTCTTTAATTATAGTGATCATCATGGCATTATTTTAAATTACCCATTCTATAACTATTGTGATCACCATGGTATTATATTAAATTACCCATTCTATAATTGATTAGCAACTATAACACAAAAGTTATTTGAATGAAGAAATTAGAACATTATAAACAAACATAGGCGTAGGAACCGGGGGTGCTGAAGGGTGGGGCACAAACATCAGAGAATGGGGAGCATATGGTTTAATTTTATTTCAATAATTCGCTTGCGCATAGGGGTCTTTAGCAGTGGGAGGAAACCGGAGGACCCGGAAAAAACCCACGAGGTTGGACAGGCGACCCTATTCCTTGTCAGGTACAACAGGGGATTCCAAACCACGCCAGTTGACTCAATGACAGACTTTATGATACAGCGCGCGCACGCTAACCATTCAGCCATCCAACCCCCCAGCATGTTAATAAAATTCAGAAGTAGTATATCCATAGAAGTGTGTTAATTTTAGTATAATCTATTTCTATATGTCTTATAAGGATTAATATATTACAGATACATTATGGGAGATAAGATAAAGAGTTGGTAGTTCTCACTATAATAGTTAAAAACTAGATAATGTAAAGGCAATATGCTGAAAATTTCAGTCAAATTGAACCTCTATGAACCAAGAATTAAGCGATTGAAATTTCCGCCTAGCCTCGATCATCATTACTAAAGTCGGTACGACAAAAATCATAGTCTCGATTATTCATTTAATCATTAAATCGTGAAGGAAAGTTATGCAGTAAATCGGATCATAATCCACTACAGATCACAGGCTAGCGATGCCATCGAGAGTTGATTATGGTCTGGATAAGTTAATTAATGTCTATTTGATAATTTAGGCCTAAAGAAAGGCCTGCAATAGGCAGATTTAGCTCTTGCATAATGTATGTTTAATGTATACAATACTATGACGTTCTTCCACATGCCCTAATGTATACAATGACGTTCTTCCTCATGCCCTAATGCACAACACTACAGAATCTTTTTTAAAAGCACTTACCGACATCTGTACCTTATCGCGTTCACGTGATTCATAAATTCAAATAAAAATAAGTATTCTAAAATTATATAATATATACTAAGACGCAAAGAACCATAAGAAGGGGGGGGGGGGGTTAACATCCTACTGTTGTGCCCCGACTGGGCTAATGAAGACGGGTATACAGTGTGCTATGGGGGAAATTTTGCACGGACAGCGACACTACGGCCTATTGTTATATTCAAATTCCAACTGCCAAGGAATTTTTTACGTGCACGCCAATGTGTTTTTGTACCATCTGAACGACTAGACATCTGTCAGGCCCTTTGTCCTGCACCAATGACAAGGGGAAACTCCCGATGAACTATCTCGACCAACACGGGGATCGAACATGCGACCTCTAGGCTAGCGCGCCAGCGTTTTACTTGCTTAGCCACCGTCGCCCCCCCCCCCTCTCGCCCCTAAGAAGAAGAACAACAACAAGATGAGCAGCGCTTGGGGGTTGGTTCCTAATTCAATAATCGAAACAAATCTGACCTGTTGAGAGCTCACGGGAAGTGTAATAAGATGGATGGATAGACAGACGGATCTCAATCAGCGTCAGCAGCATTCCTGTCAAATTAGATCGAAAGCGGTTTCGGAGGATACGAGGAATGGTATAAAATAACTGGGCAATGTTAATCCACAGTAACTTTAAAATTGGACTGTTCAACGAAAATCGCTTATACTGGTTTAGAGAAGAAACTGTTTAATGGCTGACTTATAGTCTGATCACTAAGCATCTATTGGGTCAGACTGGACTCCAGTCTATGAAAATAATACGATCACCTCACGAAACTGTGCTAATTTTATCGGTTTCATCGGCTGGACTGAGGGAGGAGAAATCAGATGAGTGGAATTTTCTAAAATGACTGACGCCTGAAACACGCAAACACGTCAATTATTGGCATGACCTAGCCATAGCAACGACTAGCAACCATACGACCAAATCTGGATGGTGAATCCCGCCAGTACGCAAAAGGTACAGCCCCTACAGTAGTAGATCCTCCATCAATAGCCTCTGTACAGATAAATAGGACGTTAAACCCCATTTCATTTTGCCGTGGTAGGCTATGGGAATAATTGGCGCCAGGGGTGTACATAACGATTTTGTGCGTGTGTGTGTGGGGGGGGGGGGAGCAAAAATACTGATGCACACATGCCCCTAATACGAGTGACACAGTCAACAGCCAAGCACCGTAATGGGGGTCCGGGGCATGTTCCCCCCCCCCCCTTTAAAAGATTTTGAACCTAGAGTTGCATAATTCTGATGGCCAGAAAACACTTATAACATGAGTAAAATACGATTTATATAGGCGGGGAGGGATAACGTTTTACCCCGAACAAATGGCAAAAGAAACCAATACAGCTTGGTCCATTTATACATATGTCAGACAACATCATACTCAAATTCGGCCATGCCGAAATGACGTAATAAATATAATTCAATAGGGCGGCCTTGAACAATTTTCGGGGAGCGTTATCTCGTAATCACTGTGTTTTAGTAGTGGAAGAATAACTTTTTTTTTCAAATTCTTCAAACATAAATAGTGTTATGTTTTTCACATAGTGCCAGCCAACTATTTCTTTTAAAGTGGCTGCCAAATTTAGTAATAAAATGGCATTTTCTCAATATAACCAGAGAGAATCTTGTATGATATGACTTTTTGCTATGTCTTTTATAAGAATTATGTTGTCTCTGAATTTAAAGATAAATTTTGTAAATAAAATACAGAAGCAATTCAAATGGCATCCAAAATGGCTGATTTGTCATTTTGTCCGGTTGGATATGACTTGTAACGTGTCATTTATATGGT